TGTACAGCCATGGTGACTTATTTAATATCTAGTTAGATAGAATAAGTCCTAATTTTGTGTTTTGATACGCCCACTTTTCACTGCAATAAAGACTACTTTCAATTTTCTTTTAATTTTTTATAAGAAGAATGAAAATTGCATGATTTATGTGAAAAGCAAAACATTTCACCGTGTAATTTTTTTATTTTCATTTTTTTTATTGGATAGTTTTACTATGTAATTGTGTAAAAAATTACAAAAAATGGTCCATATCTTGACAGTCCCTCCATTTGACTACAATAAAGGCAAGGTAATAAAATTTCATTCTAATTTTTCTTAGCATAATACATACAAAAATATTTCCAAAAATTAAAAATTTTTATCATTCCGTTTTCGTAATTTTCAACTAGATCAGGCCTCGTTAAAAACATCCCCCTAATAAACAACACAAATACCGTATAAGTAGAAATTCTAGCAATGATTTAATTTTGGCATTATTAGCGAGGGCGCTAAAATTAAATATCGCTAAAAATTAATTAAGAAATAAAGTCCGCGTTTTCGTGAATGTTGCAGAATAACCTCCGAGGTCGAGAAATGTTGTTTGAAATATAAAAGCCGAGGCGTTAGCCGAGGCTTTTATATTTCAAACAACATTTCGACACCGAGGAGGTTATTCTGCATCATTCACGACAACAAGGACTTTATTTCTATTCTACCAATGGCCTTAAATACGGCCGATTGTTTCCTCTATAGAGAAACGAATTAGGTCACCATGTCTCGATTACGCTGTTCTTTTAAACACCAGAGAGAAATTTTGTTGACTTACCTATATATGGAATGCAGATGATTTGAGCTTTCGTTGCATCAAAAATAGTCTTTTTTAATTACAAATTTGTTCGTAATATGTATTGATCAGTTAAAATGAATATACAAAAACAAAATCATGTTCTTGTTTTACTGCTAAAATCACGTTGTTTAATGTGTAGGGAGGTCCGTGGAATAGCCCGCTTAACTATAAAAACCGACATTCATCAGCATCTTGATGCAATTTACAGTGTTTATACTGCAAAAGACGACACGTCGATGCGGTCTAAACAAGTATTTCATTCTACAGCCGAACATGCATTTGAATTGTTCAGATTTGATACGTGTTTCTGATCTGATAATTTTTTGATGACGTTCGTGATTTATTGGAGAATAATGTCTGGCGGCTTCCTTTGAAGATTTCAGTAACCGTGGTAGAATTGCGTATAATTTGTAATAGCTTCTTTAATATGCATTTTAAAATCGCTAAAATAACATCTCGCTAAAAATAAGTTACAAGTTTTTAAGGACAAATCGCTAAATTTGCGTCTCGCTAAAATTTCCACTGAAACGGTATATGATGAGGGCAAAAAAGATGGACCCTTGGCAAATCAAGTGGGAGGATCAGTAGCTAAAAAGTAAGCATTCCTTTATAACAGATCACTCTTATTGTGAGATCTATGATTTGAGTAATCCGTAGTCAAAGAGTCTATATTTTAAAAAAAACAAAGACCTTACATTTGGTATAAAACCATTCAGAAACAAGAGGCCCACGGACCTTATAGGTCACCTGAGTATCATGTAACAACTTTCCAGCGATTGTATTTGGTTCGTGTTTTAATCCAAAAGCCATGAAATTAACAAATTTTGAAAGAGGCACCATTGCTTACATGTATCAAGGGGCATATTTCAAAGCATTAATTTATTTTTAGTCAAAGTACCCCCCTGGTACCCCAGACCCAGCGGCCCTGAAATTATCTAATTTGAAAGAGGCCCCTTTCTTCATTATAAGGCCAGCATTTTTTTATGTTTAGGTTTAGTTATGAACATGAGGATAAAAAAGTCCCAAAGGAGAAGGAAATAAAATAAAATTTGATAAATCAATTATTAACATTTGTACCTTCTCTTTTTATGCTATTCTAATAGGCTCCTTACCACTGGACACATAATGCTTACAAATAGGAAAGTAGAACATTTAATTGCTTATTTCATCATCTGCCAGTTTGGGCTAGTTATATAAATTTTTTGATGTTGGTCAAAATATATTTTTAAAAAGTCTTTAAAAGTCTTTCAATATGTCTTCATTTTTTAATATGTGTTAGGTAAATGTGTAGACATTGTTCTGACATTTACTTGATGCCTAAAATTATAATTCCTATCATAAAACAGACAGGGAGTTTTGGGGAGTAAGGTGAACATTTTTTCAATTAAGTGTAAAATAATTTTTCAGGCTAGCTGATACAAATGATACTACATGCCTGTATATATTTGTATATTCTAGCCTTTCAATAGTTGAATTTTTTTTATTTCTTCGGGTTATTGTTTATTTCTTCCTCAAATGGACTTAACTTCTCCCATAGTTTTATTCATTACATCTGATGCGTAAGCAACCCTTTTCTGAAGAATGATGCTCAGACTGTAAGCTATGACAGAGACCTAAACAATGTCGCTGGAAATATGCAATAGCTACCACGGGCAGTTTAAAACCTGGGGGAGGAAAATAATTTACAGACAGATACTTTTGAAACGAATACATAATTATCTCACCATCATGTCATTGTGCAACAGAGTCGTCAGCATTTTATCTGTCCTTTGAACGGGTGAAACGTTTTGAACGGCACTCGTATGGATGAATTTTACACTAATCCAAGCTATCTTCTCAGATCTATCATCTAGCTTTATTTACCCGCCGTTTAATCCTAAAACCGGAAGTGCGAGTTCATAAATTGGAAATCTCGATCCCGACTCAAATTTGACATCGGAAAAAAAATTGTTTTATTTTTTTCTGAAAATTCAAAACCTGGAGCGGAGGGTTTGTAAAACTGAAAATAAAATAAATCATGACCTTAAATATGTAATTAGATCATTAGAATATTAACCAGGAGCAAAGGATAAGATGTTCAAAGAATTCATGCATTTCACTATATAATCATGTGAGCCCCACCCTAAAACAAGAACCCCTGACCCTTGGGCCATAAAATTCACAATTTTGGTAGAGGCCCTCTTGCTCATCATAACTATGTACTTAGTTTATTTAATACCCAGGAGCAGAGAAGAAGATTTTCAAAGAATTCATGTATTTTCACTATATAATCAATAGAGCCCCGCCCTAACACCCGAACCCCTGACCCTGGGGCCAATAAATTCACAATTTTGGTAGAGGCACTCTTGCTCATTATAACTATGTACTTAGCTGGTTTATTTAATACCCAGGAGCAGAGAAGAAGACTTTCAAAGAAATAATGCATTTTCAGTACCTACTTATTTAGCCCCGCCCTAGCACTAGAACCCCTGACCCCAGGGCCATGAATTTCACAATTTTGGTAGAGGACTCGTTGCTAATTACAAACATGCAAACAGTTTGACTGCTTGATGTCCATGAGTGAAGAAAAAGATTTTTAAAGATTCCATTAATTTTAGTGGTTTTGGCCCCACCCCTCAGGCCCCAGCGGGGCAGGGATCATGAAATTCACAATTTTTGTTTCCCTTAACCCAAAGATGCTTTGTGCCATATTTGGTTGAGATTGGTTCAGTGGTTGCAGAGAAGAAGCTGAAAATGTTCAAATGTTAACACACAACGCAGGACGACGGACGAAAACAGATACAATAGGTCACCTGAGTTTGCTCAGGTGACCTAAAAATACGACCCAAGGATAAGTCATGCTTGCTGACATGCACATTATGATAGCCATAGAGTACAAGAAATCCCGACTTTAAATTAGGTTATTGAAATTCTTGTAACTTTAGATGATTCGAGTACCGTTTTGCATTTTTCTCTGAGCAAATCAATCTGCATTTGATGCTGTTTACTTTTTTCCTCTTGTTCATCTTTGGTTTTATTTATGAGTACTTGTCTAGTTCGAACTCCTGTGCAAACATCATCCAACAGTGTATGAAGGTACCTGAAAATGAAGTGCAAAACAACTGAGACACATAACTCACTTTATTTTATTATTAATTAAAGTCTGTTCGTTTTGTCGTAAATGTACGGCTTTAACACGGCACACTTTGTATTCAAATATATTTGCATACATACATTACATAAATTAACACATACCCATCTACTTACATATACTCCACAATTTCTAAATCCCTCCCTCTCTTCCTCTCTTTCTCAACATTTGTTCATTTATCCATTTATCAATCACTGGGTGAAAAAAGTGGTTTCCCATCATGGGAAACTTTATGGAAACCACATGGAAACCTCAAGTTTACATCATGTTTCCCAGTGGTTTCCGTAGCGGATGCTAGGTTATTCCGCCAAGTTTCCGTGACACGGAAACCCCCTACGCTCCGATTCCATAAGGTAACCCGAACCACGGAAACCTCTGTAAACCTGAAGTTTCCAGAACATCCATGTAGTTTCCCGTAATGGGAAACCTGAAGATTCCACTGGTTTCTAGAATCAGGAAACTTGATGGAATCGGAGCGTAGGGGGTTTCCGTGGAATGGAAACTTGGTGGAATCTTTAGGTTTCCTTTTACGGGAAACTACATGGAAGCTCGGGAAACCTCATGATTCCTAAAGTTTCCTTGACTCAGGAAACCATATGGAATCGGAGCGTAGGGGGTTTCCGTGGAATGGAAACTTGATGGAATCTTTAGGTTTCCTTATACTGGAAACTACATGGAAGCTCGGGAAACCTAACGATTCCTAAAGTTTCCATGACTCAGGAAACCATATGGAATAAGAGCGTAGTGGTTTCCGTGGAATGGAAACTTAACGGAATCTTAAGGTTTTCTTTTATGGGAAACTACATGGAAGCTCGTGAAACCTTATGATTCCTGAAGTTTCCTTGACTCAGGAAACTATATGGAACTTGTGTAGCACTTTCTGTGTGGCGGAAACTTGGTGGAATTATCTGGAGTCTCATTCCTGGTGGAAATTACTGGGAAACTTCAAGATTCCCTAACCTTTCTAAAGGAAGCAATGTGAAATAATGCGTATTCTTTTAAAAATCTATCAAAAAAATGTATTACATGTAAAAGAAAAAAGCATTACCATTTTATATTTTTAATAATTCATTTGATGTACAAAAACTGTAACTGAATTTTTCAATGATATCAAAATATTAAATAAATTCATATATCTTAGATAAACAATGGAACAGTCTTTCACATTTAAGTCCATTCATAAGGGTCATTAAGTACTTCTTTCAACATCAGTTTCCTGGTTTTCTTCACATCACCTATGATCTGCAATATTCATACAAAATTATTATATGATGTCAGAATTATAATGCTTGAATATAACTTAGAAATCTGAAAGATCAGTCAATGTCCTTTAATATACCAATATCAATAATTACTTTCCATGACCATGATACATATGATTTCAGCATTTAATGTATCTCTTTAATATTTAATGCTTTATGATAAGTGAAAAAAAATAACATAATATAAATAATGTTTTCAGCCTTATTATGTCATCGAGAATATATTACTACATGTATCTCATACTAAGAGCCCTGCTTTAAGTTTGATTTATAGTTTGAGAGAAAACATACTGTACACAGGGTTATTTTCGCCCGTCTTACTTTCGCCCTTTCACACTTGCGAACAATTTTGCCCCGTTTTAAATTCGCCCAGTCATAGTTATTGTTAACAAAATATTACTGTATTCTTTGAACTCGCCCCGTTTTAAATTCGCCCAAATGAGGGTAGGGTGAAAGGGGCGTAAATAAAACGTGGGCGAAAATTTCCCTGTATACAGTACCCTTTATAATAACAAAAATATTAGGTAGAGATTTTTTTTTTAATTTTGATATTCGACCTAGAAATTGGTTGAAGATCATTGCAGACCCTCCATCCCATTGCACAAAAGCTAGATTACACCAGGGGAGAAATATACTCTGGACTACGATTTTAAATAAAGATATACAGTAGATTTTGATACTGACCTTTGACCTAGAAAATTAGTCCAAGGTCACTCTTCATCCTCTATCCACAGGCTCTCTGTAGTTTAAGTTTGAGAGAGAAATATGCACAGAACAAGTGATTTCAGATGGAGTGATGGGTAGACACTGTCTAAGGGCATCCACAGAACAGGACCTAAAAATAATGCAATATATATGTTTTACAGTATATATACACATGTACTTGTATGTTAATGATTTATCATATGCTGCATTGGACACATATGATTTTATCATGGTTTAAGTATACATGTATCTTATGAGAAATTTTATACCGGTATTGCATGTACGCTCAGTTTATTTAAGAAATAAATAACAAGTTTATAAACTTGAATCTTCAATGGGAGAGATACCACAAATGTATATATAAACAAGTAATTTAATTTTTTTTTTACATATATTGACCAACATTATTTACATCCATTCTTCATGTTCATGAATTGGCTGATCAAAATTCAGTCAGTTTTAGATCTATATGATATACCACAAAGGACTTTCACATTTACAAAAGTTATTCCCCTTCGCAGGGTCGATCTGGGTCAACCTGCTTAAGACGCTGTTTTCCCTATTTAACCGTATCAACTTTGAGGGACAATATCTTAGAAATAAAATCTGTATGAACATTATCATTATGACTTTCATGTTGCCCCCATACTCTGGCAATACAGATACAGATCGTAATTGTCCAATATTTTTGAAGATTGAAAATATTAACAAGTAACTTACAAAGGACAAAGTGGGGAAAATGAGCGATACGCCGACAATTGGAGGAAACTCTTAGGAATGTGAAATTCGTCTATTGGTGATGACAATTCCTGTTTTAATGTCACTGAAAAATTAAGAGACATTAAAAATTTAAGCCCTATTGTCATACACGCATGCTGTTTTTTCATCCATATAACCTTTTAGTATCATAAAATTTACCAAAATTTAATACTTCAAATAATTTCATTGAATATCTATAAAATAAAGGAAACTCTAAAAACTTAGTGACTTGCAGAAATTATTCCTTGAAGAGAAAAAAATCTATCATATTTCACATAAATATGTGCATAATGAGCCTTTTTTATTCATTTAGAACATATAGTATGTGCCTCATTTCCCCAAGAAATTTTCAAAGACAATGGACTATGACTGTAAGCAGAAATCATTGCTGTTTACTTACATTGGAAAATTTATGAAAATAATTAATTTCCTATTTATTTTTTTTTAAAATAATGCTAAAAATAATTTAATCTATTAAAAATAATCTAACTGACTGTAAAATAACATTTTTCATAATCTTAATCTATGGGCAGATCACTTTAACTTCATAAAACTACCTGATATTAAAGTAGAACTCTTTAGTGTGCAGTTTTTAGAGCTTCCTTTAAGTAATCAAAATACTGACCAGCAAGAAATCAGTTAATAAGCATTTCCTTTTTTCATTCAAATTTTTGTAGAGATCTCAGAGTTTTTTCCTGTTCAATTCAGGTTCAAGACGACTAAGTTTTATTGAAGTGTGTGTATTAGAGAACTGATTGTATGTCAATCATAGCAATACACACATATCATGGAGGGGGCAAATTGTTTCAGCCCTAGCTTTTACATTAAACTTCTTGTAGCTCACAGCTGATATACCACAGTTCAGTATTTAAATAAAATTTAGAATCTTTTTTTTTTTCAGGCAATTGTCATATACATACTAATCATGAATGAATTACCACTTACCAAATGACCACATCCTGAATCATCATACATTTTCTATAATTTTATCTCACAGGTTTTCTTTTAAAGTCACACAGTTTTCTTCTCTCTGAAATGATAAATTATGTCCAGGTACTATTGCATTCTAATTTAAACTAATTATGTAATAGCATTAGCAACAACTGAGATGGAAGAAAAAATAACCAGAAGTCTCTGTCAAGACTGTAGCTCTACTGGTTTGTACTTATCAAAAACTGATGCACAGAATTATGTATCTTAGTATAATCTACTTGTGTGCCAAGTTATATTGAAATCAGACTAAAATTTAAGGAGGAGTAGTGTTTGCAGACAGACGGACGGACAGCTAGACAGATGGACGGACGCATTACTATCGCATAAGCTCTTCTGGTTTCTGACAAGTAGAGCTAAAAACAAGATGCGCTTGTGAAACACAGCAACAAAGTTCGAAAATGCAATTTTTTTAGCATATTGTTACAGGTCACTGTCAAGATCACATAATCATTGTCCTTGTTGCCATTTGAAAGCACTTCATTAGTGGAGTATGCATACTAAATATGAAGCCACTATCTCGTATAGTTCTAAAATTATGGTGAAGGTTTAAGTTGACCACAGACACTCAGACAGACACACAGATATACAGTTATGGCAAAAGTTTGAACATTATAACTTGGTATACACACAGACACTTCAAGGTATCAAGGGTAAAATTCACAGCACAGCGGGACTGCATTTTGACTTCAAGGGATCAAGTCTTTCGAGAGATCAGGAGTTCGATAAATCAAGAGCAAATCTGCTTAGTTATATAGTGGAAAAAATCGGGACCGGAGACTCACTTCAAGCGATCAAGAACTTCCGAAAAATCGAAGTTCAAGCTATCAAGTGTTACCTATTCATACAGATATAAGAAGCATCTTATTATTTGCAATTTTGACCTAATGACAGCTAAATCTGTTCAGTAAGACAATACTGTGTACATGTATGTAAGTAGTTTTATTGTGCATGATTATTTACTTACTGTCTTGATCTTCTCAACTTGAAGTGTTCTGTATTTTATTACCAAGTTTGTAATAAACATAATGAAACATACCCTTTTCCACATCACATCCTGTATCAGACCTTTGACCAATATCAGCCCTAGGGCCTCTGTTCCTCTGGCTGATATTGGTGTCTCGGGCTAGGATGTGATATGGAAAAGAGTATGTATAATTCGCTATACATTGTCCTACTCAGGTCAATAATTCGCTATACATTGTCCTACTCAGGTCAATAATTGTGAAAAAACTGATAATTCAAGCTGATGATTCATTTGCATTTCTTGACATACTATAATTATTAATTCACTATTAGGCTTTTCTTTTTTTACATCTTCATCTCAACAGGTTAGACATTACAAAAAAAAAAATCTTTTGAGCAGTAAACTATTCATTAAACAATAAAACAAACCTAATCTCTTCAGAAAAGTGGACAGGCTTTCACCTACATTCACTTTTTTATGTATATTTTTCCTCCATATCATCGTCATGCATGCTATTCCCTACAATCTATTCCAACTGTTCTGATGATGATATCCTTCATGAATAATCGGATAAGCTGAGATTGAAGACACTTTTTGTAAAAATATCGATGCTTTTATCAAAGTTTTGAACCAAAAATATTTCATTTATACCTTGCCATAAGTCTTAAGTTCCAAAAAACAAGAGTTGGCTATCCGAAAAGTCAGAAAAACACATGTATTCAAACCGGATGTTCTACGGTCTGAATTTAACTACGAAACCATGCTCGGTGAAACTATTATCATCCGGATAATTTGAGCGGGGTTAAAAATATACTTTTTTTTAATTCCGAAAAGTATTCATTTATATATAGAGAGAGAACATACATATGTAGCATACATTTTAATAAACATGATAAAAGGCGAAACGTTGCCATTTTACAACATACAGCATGCACATGCACGGTGCCTTTGGGGCCTCCATAATCAAAGTTATGCTATATCATTGTCTCAAATTTTTCTCTCTCTCTCTCTTTCTCTCTGCAATATATACACTTAACAATTTAAAACTTAGGTATCCAACTTTTCAAAATGGCGTCAGAGCAAAAGTTGCCTCCGATAGTGAAGATTTGTTGTTGCCAGATATTACAACTATTTACCGTAAAAAGTTAACAAAAATATACGTACACTAATCCTTCATAGTTGGCCATTGCATTTATCACAGTCTTAAAGACACTGGGTGGTGAAACCATCTTTACTTTTCACATTTACCAGCTGCTTACACCTTCTTCTTCGTCCTTCTCGATCCTCCAAAAATGGCGCCTCGGGAAATTGACCAATGAAATAAAGCGCCTACAGAGCGATGCAGGATGGGAAATATAAACTGTTGAGATCTTATATTAGAATTTAATTAAGTTTTCCCCTTTTCATGGAATAAAAAGAGGGGCTCCTAAATATTTTTGCCGATATGATGTGTAGGCCTAGTATATTTAGAAAATAAGCGGTTAAATACATGAGGCAAGAGCAGAAAAAAAATTCTTGCTCGACACCTCAACTTATTTGCCTTCGGGATATGGGTTTCGGGGCTTGGTTGTTTTTAGTTGCCGTCCTTGCTGAAAGTACCCCCCCCCCTCTCCCCGCTTCTTTTAACTGTTACATGTATGATTATGAATTTATAATGTCACACTAAAAGATGTTAAATTTTTAAAAGCACATATTTTTTATTGTGAACTTTCCACAGGAATCCTAAAAGGCATGAAAATGAGCTACAATTATAATATGATTATCAAGAATTTTTTTTTATTTCAGTAGTGATGATTGAAAAGTTCGGTGATTAATAATTCATTGCTAATAAATTGTTGTGTTTTTTTAGGGGGGGGGGTTAAATTACTAATTGAACTCCCTCCTTTTCGGGGTTTAATTAGATTTTGAGCCTGCTATCAATATTACTGGTGGACCTGCTAGACTTTTCTCTAATTGCTACATGTACATTGTACTTTAAACTCCTTGGCTTTTAGCTAAAAAAAATTTCACACATCATTTTAACACGTAAAATTGTTTTAAAAATGAATCAGAATATGTTGAAAACCTTTTTCTTAGGAGAGTTATATCTCTAGGTGGAACAAAACTAACATCTTATCAAAGGCAGGAAAATATAACAGTATTTTAATTCAGTATTTTAGTCGTGATTGGTATAAGTGAAGTCATGGGAAAGATTATGTCGAAAGTCATCTATACTCGTTGATGTGTAGGGCTGTACTTATGCATACAGCTTTAGCTGCTGGTCCCGCCCTGTATTCTTTAATGTTTTTTTTTTCGTTAAGAAATCTGGTAAGGTATGCTAGTAAAAATAAAATCCCGGTTAGTTTATTACTCTAACGGAAATTACTTTCCTACAGGCCTGAAGATCAAGTCTATTAGTCACGCAAGTTTTTTTTTTTTAAAGAGTAGCATGTCGGCGAATAAAAATAAAGTAGTGTACAACATAGATAAAGAAATGTTTGTTGAAGTATTGACAAACTTCATACCTTTATAGAATGAAATCAACAAAAAGTGCACAAAAATACAATCGTGACAATTATACAATGAATTAATTATACAATTAATTATTTTAATAGATTGCCTTAGCATGCACTACTTTAAAATCCACTGTTCTTAAGGAAAACAAAATCATGCAAAATATTATAGACTTTCCTTTATCTAGAGCAATGGCCTTTGGAGAAAAAAAATGTCTGAAAATTTTAAAGTTTGTTAAATATAATGTATGTGCATTTATGACCCTACATTGTAATTTCATGCGAAAAGTGCAGGCGTTTTACTAAACGGGGATCTGCATACATATTTAAACAAAAAAAGGAAAGACCAAAAAAAAAAAAAAAAAAAAACGTTTTATCTGATGAATTATATTATAAACATTTATCTAATAAATGTCTTTGTAGTACGTTAGATTACAAATTTCACACAAAAAACCCATCAACAATATTAAATACAGTTTTGATTTCACATTGATCTATTAACGTCATTCTGATTTAATATAATTATACACGACGAGAATTAAGATCTATTCAATACCTATAGAAAATTATTTAATTTCTAAAGACACATGAGAGAGGATAGGTTTATTTTAAATCAGTAATGAAAATTGAAATAAAAATTCTAAATAGTTTGATCTTTCATTGAACTTCTTAAATGTAGGTTATTTTATAAATATGTTCTCTTGTATAACTTTATTTATGGAATATACAATTTTTTAAATGATAAAAGAAACACGAATCATCATCTTAATTTAAAAGAATTTTCGGTCGGAGACTGTGTGTGTACATGCTCGACGACAGCCCATTGTTCCCTTTAGGTACAAAACCGTCTCAATTCACATAGAATATACAAAAAATACACAGTGACAGGTGTCTTCGCGGCACGTGTCTCCACCTGAAATGGCACGTGAGGACAGGTGTCCCTAATCACACAGGCCGACCATAGTGACTTTTTCAAAAGCGTGTTTTTGTTGTTTTTTTTTTTTTGGGGGGGGGGGGGCTTCTCAAGGAAAAAATGAAAAGCAACCCACCCACCCCCAATAATAAAAATAATAATTTAATAAATTAAAAAAAAAACAATATTCACTATTAATAGTAAAATACTAGTATGATAATACTCAACCCCCAGCCAATTCGATGAATGATTCTTATCTGACCAGTTTATATTAATATATTAATTCATATTAAAACAAAATCTTTATCACTTTCTAAACTTGTATTTAAAAACTTGAAACACTAAAAATGTAATTTTGACAAACCAACTGAAGTATTTTTTTTCCTGACGGATTACCCCGGTATATAAGAAATGCCAACCTCTGGTATCTAACACAAATGCCTAGTAAGGTACCTTGATGTCTTGTGAATACATGTAATTATGTATAAATAATTCTTCAATGTCAGTTGCAAAATACTGGAAAAAAATTTAATTATTTTATTGAGGAACGTCTCACCTGTTCTTAATCAGTAATCGTAATTTGACATATTTCTTTATTTACTTTTTAATCGATCTTTTTAGTAAACCTTTTCTGTAAATAATTTCATTAAATGTACCCTTTACATGAAAGAAGGAAAAAGACCAGACTAACTACAATGTATAAAATTGATGAAAACCAAGTTCCTGAATATCTCACTGATATAATCCCTAACCTACGATGTAATTCATCAAGTTACAGTACGAGAAACTCGCAGAACTATAACATACCCAAATGCAGATTGCAAGCTTACAAATCAACTTTCGTTCCCCTTGTTATTGAAGAATGGAACTCATTACCTCTTAATGTAAGAAATTCTCCCTCGTTATCTATTTTTAAAAAGTCTATTTCTTTCAATAAACAAATGCCACCCTCTTACTTCAGTTATGGAAATCGACGCTTAAATATAATACACACGAGGCTTAGACATAACTGTGTGCTTAATAGCGATCTTTTTCGATGTAATGTAATCTTGAGTCCACTATGTTCTTGTGGAAGAGTGGAGGATTCTCATCATTATTTCTTCTCATGCAAAAAATATACAGAAGCCAGGAAAGAATTTTTTGACAAATTTTTGCGAATGGGTAAATTACACACTGTCGATACTCACACTTTACTCTGGGGAGACAAATCGTTAAATGATTTTGAAAATGAATACCTATTCTCTATTGTACAAACTTTCATTAAAAAGTCAGGACGATTTGGTTGATACAATAATTATTTCTAATTGTAAATCTTATACAGCATGTCTATTTCATATGAAATGTATTCTATTGAATGTGTTTCACTCTGATTATTATATATTATTATTATATTATTATTATTATTATTATTATTGTTATTTCATTTTAAGCTGAAACCCATGTATGTAAATATGTTTGGTATAATGTATATGTAGGGAAAGGGCGTAATAAGTTTTTAGAACTTTTGCCCAATCCCATTTGTAAAGTATAATCAATAAAATATGTTCAAATCAAATCAAATGTACCCTTCCTTAGCTCTTCCATTTTTTCAAAGGAACATTCATCATAGACAGAAATGATTGATTTCTACATAACTGCATGCACTTACTTTTTTCTATTCCACTTCACGCATTCTATATGAGTTTACCAAAACTTATGTGATTTAATTCAAAATTGAATTGAATTAAATAGAATTAAGTAAAATAAAATTAAATTAAAATTGAATTGCGTTCACGGTGCTGAAATATTAAATTAATCACACAGAAATACACATCTAGTTATTTTAACTGTTTGAAGTTAATTATTTTGATACAGCATGTAAACATTTTTGAAATATTTCTATCATTGGTAAAAATATGGTAACATAATTAAATATTTAACTTTTTTGTAAAATAAAAGGTAGGTGGGTTAGTATTGAGATTTACTTTCAAAGTGTCCCTGCCTGGGAAACATGGGGGAAACTACACATTGGTGGCTTCCATGTCGGAAATCTGTATGGAAACCACTGAGGCATGTTTACATGGTTTCCTATCTTGGGAAACTTACGGGAAACCACAGGTTGGTTTTTCCATATCGGGAATCTACATGGAAACCACCGGGGCATGTTTCCATGGTTTCCTATCTTGGGAAACTTACGGGAAACCACAGGTTGATTGTTTCCATGTCGGGAATCTATGTGGAAACCACCGGGGTATGTTTCCATGGTTTCCTATCTTGGGAAACTTACGGGAAACCACAGGTTGATTGTTTCCATGTCGGGAATCTATGTGGAAACCACTATGTGGTTTCCATAAAATGGAAACTATATGGAAACTACTGATGTCACGATTCCCATATGTTTCCATCGGGTTTCCAAATTTGGGAAACCTGGCTTTTCATCCTGTGAATTCGTCCGTCACTCCATAGTTCCGTCCATACATACATACGTACATAAATACATACACCCAAAAAAAGCGTGCAAAAGAAAAACGTCCTTAACCTCTTGATGAGACGTGCTCATAAAACCACTCTAATGAGTTCAAAGAAGAAGTTTTAAGTAAATACCTAAAGTGTTCCGTAGTTCTTATATTTTCATTTTCCTTAACAATCTTTTCTAAAGACTTTCGGAATTGATTAAACTCCTGAGTTGCAGTTTCCTTTTGATATACCTAAAATATAAAAAAGAAAGGATTGTATTTTACAGTTGTATTCTTTTTTTAAGTTTAAATAAATTGGTTTTTAGTGTATTTGAATATACATGTACGAGTGTTATTTTAAACGTACTTGAACAATGACATTTTTACCAAATAAAAATGAATGGTTCAATTAAATACCAAAATATTATCTAAGAAATCCAAGTCAGAATAGCTTGGAATGCATTGTTTGAAAATATTTTTGTAAAATTCCTGGTCATTAAAGGTCGCCGATAGTGATAGTTTCTTGAAGTTAATAAACAAAATAACAGCAAAAATAATCTAAAAATAATTTTAAACCAAATTTCAATATATTTGCATATTTTAGATGATCTACTATTGATAAAAGAAGTAGTCTTGTCTAATAAACAGGAATTCAGTACTATAATATCTTACATCTGTTAGATTCATTCTGAAGATATTTTCTTTCCTAACTGAAGGCCACTGTCTAAGAATCCTCTCTGATAATTTTTTCCAAGTTTTTTCGACCTCGTCTTCATCGCTGCTGTCATCTGGATCTTTCTTTATGGAATCCCATTTATTTGTTATGAAGATGACACTTCGTTGATCAAAGCAAGGCATTTCGTCATCCATTTGCAAGTTGGTAATGGCTTTTAATATTTCTGGAAGCTATGAAACATTTTAGTGCAATCGTTGTTTCTTTTGTTTTAACATATATATCTAATAATCTATTTAAATGATGGAAGAGAAACCTAGTACTGTAAAACGAGAAAATTTGGCACATACATATTTTAGCGCAAACGCAAGTGGGAATGCATTAGCGCAAATAAATTTTAGCGCTTGCACATGTCAATAAAATATTTATACGTATTTTATATTTCATTTTTTTTAATCCACACCCGTATTTGATTTTATGGTTAGTCGAGCACGGAAACACATAAGTACTACCGTATATAAGTAAACATTCGTAAACTTTACCGCGGTACGTGTTCCTGTCACATGGACGTGACACAATGTTAAATATTTATTTTATTTCTATTTTCTATTAAAAGAAATGGAGAATTTACTCATTTAAAATCATATTAAAACAATGCATGCATCGACAGAAAATTACTTCGATAAAACGGTAATCCTAATCAGGTATTGTCTGCGCATAGCGCATGCGTGAGGAAGGGGGGCAGCTTTAAAAATCGCAGAGAAAATTTACTCGAATTTAATACAATATACATCGTGGTTTGTATATAAGATCACCTGGATTTGTTGTTTAAACGTGTAGTAATGTGTGTGGAAACCTATCTGAGACATAGCACTGCGAAATGCCTAGAAAAGGGAAAAGGAAAGTTCATGTGAGTAGTACTCAATCATTGCATGTTCCTAGTATCCATGATATGGAGAGTCAATTGAGTAACAGTAATAGTAGTATCAGCCTTAGTGCACCAACGGCAGTTGCATCTACACCAACTGCAAACTTTCAAAACAACTGTCAAGGAAATAATTTTCAACCCTATGGGTCCCCGGGACCACAGAGTCAATTTGCTTTGTACTTATCCCCTATACCACTAGTACCAAACCCCCCACAACACCAATATCAGCACGTTGATATTCTTGAGACTTTGAAAGTCATGTCGAATCGATTAGAAGAAGTATCTACTAAACTAAACAAATTAGATCATATTGAAAGGAGACTCAATGAACTGGAACGGAATGTCAACACAGAGTTAAAAGAAATGAAGGGCATGGTCAACGGGGTGGAAGAGTGTGTGACACATATTAGTAAACAGTATGATGATCAAACGAGGGAAGTCAAAGAAATGAAGAAATCTGTTAGTAACATAAGGAACGAAAATGAAATGATCTTGAATGAATTAGAAATGGTGAGGAATAAATTCGAGGATTTGAACGAACGCCACTTAGATCTACAAACCAGATCGATGAGAGACAACCTCGTATTTAGTGGTATACCGGAGACTGAAGAGGAAAATACAGAAGAAGTACTGAAAGAGTTCATACGTGCAGAAATGAATATCACAGAAGTTCCACAGTTCCACAGGGTACACCGAATGGGGAAGAGTCTACCGGATAAACACAGACCAATCGTCGCAAAGTTCGTGCTGCATAAAGAAAGAGAAATAATGAGAAAGGCCGCCCCATCAAGCTTAGAGGGAAAGGGATTTGGCGTTAACGAGCAATTTCCTAGGGAAATTAACGAGCGCAGGAAAGTTCTATATCCCCACTACAAAAAAGCGAAACAACAAGGGAAGAAGGCTGTGATGATCGTGGACAAACTTATCATAGATAGCAAACGATTCTTTCCACCAACTGGTAAATTCGTGGCTGATCCAGGCTCCAATCAAGTTCCGATGCAGGTAAACCACGGAGAGCAACAACAAACAATTATTAATGAAAGTAAAAACTCAAGTAACTCTCTCAGATCAAAAGACACTTTTAATGTAAAATTGGTTTCCATTAATATTTGTGGGCTAAATACAAAACTCCAATCTCCTGATTTTCTTGATTTTGTTAATAAATATGATATAGTGTGCCTTACAGAAACCAAAACCGATAAAGCTGACATAATTGACATTCCAAATTTTAGTGCATTTTGTAAGCATAGAACAAATTTATCATTTCGGAAATCCGGGGGAATAGTTATGTATATTAGAGATTCAATTGCTAAAAACTGTAACATTGTTAATAATGAATGTGATAATATACTTTGGGTCCAAATTGAAGGTAAAGCATTCGGAATCAATGAACATATATTAATAGGTACAGTATATATACCGCCTGTAAACTCTAGAGTTTCGTCTTGTGAAATATTTGCTTTTTGTATCATTATATGCTGATGATACTATTTTGTTATCTGAAAACCCAGATGATTTTCAATACATGCTTAACACTTTTTCTAAATATTGCAAGAAATGGCATCTTAAGGTTAATAGTAAGAAAACAAAAGTCATAATATTTGGTAAAGGGAAAAATAATGTCCCTTTTACATTTGAAGGCTCTAAGCTTGATATAGTTGATAACTTTAAATATTTGGGTGTTACATTTTGTAAAAGTAATTCTTTTAATTTGAATACTAAAGAATTATAAGATAAAGCTATTAAAGCTATGTATGGTGTTATTGGTAGATGTAGAAAACATAACTTATCAATTGATTGTAAATTAGACATGTTTGATAAAATTGTCAAACCAATACTCTTATATGGGTGCGAAATATGGGGTTTTCACAATACTAAACTGATAGAGAAATTACACCTAAAATTTTGTAAACATATTCTGAGCCTGAAAACATCAACACCAAACTTTATGGTGTATGGAGAACTTGGTAGACACCCTTTATTAATTGATATCAAAGTTAGAATGATCTCATTTTGGGGTAAACTCATCAATGCTCAGTGCTCTAAATTATCAGCAAAGCTTTTATGTGCATTGAAATTACATAAGAATCCATGGTGTGACTTTGTACAGAGAATTTTAGATGAATGTGGATTGACTTATGTCTGGTATGAAAATTCAATTAATATATCTTGGCTTAAAAATAAAGTATATACCATTCTTTTAGATCAGTTTAAACAAACATGGTTTAGTGAAGTGCAAACTTCCCCTAAAGGTTTGAACTATAGAATCTTTAAAAAATCATTAATTTTTGAAGACTATTTGTTGAATTTGCCTCCAAAACAATCCAAGAAATATTGTTTATTTAGAACTGGGAATACAAAATTACCAATTGAGACTGGTAGATGGTTTAACATCCCTAGAGAAAACAGAATTTGTAAATTATGTAATAGCAGTGACATTGGGGATGAATTTCACTACTTATTTAAATGTACTGATGTGTCTATAAAGAACGCAAGAGTCATGTATTTGTCAAAATATTTTTATTCGAATCCAAATATTTTGAAATTTGAAATGCTTTTTAATGTAACCAATACTTATCAACTCGGCAATATTTGTAAATTGTTAAACATTATAATTGAGAGAGTTAGCTCTCTTGGTTGATATTACTCTGTTATCCTTTCTTCATGCATGTAATATTTTCATGTTCATTGTACTGTATATATCTTCTCTTCACTGGTTTGTCAGTTATGAGAATAAAGTTCAAGTTCAAGCAAGCTCAATCGCCATGCTTGATTGCATTGTTTACCTCGAGGCGATAGATGGTTGACACGCCGAGAAGCCAAACTTTGAAGGTGCTAATGATAATAACTACTACTGGGGTAACAATAGTTCAAGTAAATTATAATTTGGCAGAACTTTCTGTCTTCCGAACATGTGCAGTACTGTCTAGTGTGTATATAAATTCCAATGACCCTTCGACATTACGTAATCGGGCGTTCCGGTTTACATGTACTTATGTAAAAGCTTTAAACACGCACAAAAATGATATTTAGAAATCCTTTAGTGCACAATAAATTTTAGCGCTCAGGGAGTCTTGCGCCAAAGGCGCTAAAATTAATAGTGCGCCAAATATTCTCGTTTTCCAGTATGTGACTTTTGTTTACATTACTGATTCTATATCTATGAAATTAAAATGATTGAAATTTAATTTCTAAATTTCTTTCGCAGTAAGTAGATGAATATAAAATGATATTACATGTACAGTTATTTTAAAAAAATCGACAAGCGAAATAAAGTTTTAGAAAGAAAAATAAATCACAAACATAACAAACAGAAATTAAGCTAAAAGATCCATTGCCAAAGCCCAAGAAAATCTAAGGCATCAGACCAATGAGATAGAGTTGTTTGTGAAAACGACACTGTTATATGTATTTCTTTAATTTTGTAAAAAATATTCGTGGATCTTTAACTACAGAAAATGTAAATGTGTATTAGTTTTGTACTGATCGTTTAGTAAATTTTATTCAATTTATTTAAAATTTTTCAACGTGAAAAATTTTTGTTTTGTTTTTTTTTACATTCAGAGATATCGACGATTCTTAAATCAGTTAACAATTTTTAATTTATTATTTGTTGTTTCGATCTATCACATTAAACTTGACATTAAAGAACTTACAGATTTCTATTAATAAGTTCAATATTTGCAAGTTTTGCAAGTAAATAAAAAATGACGGCAAAATAACAATTTATTATTATGACAATTCCTACATCTTCAACTTCCATGATATACAAACAAAATACTTTAGCAAAATGTCATTTTAACGTTCATATTTACTCCAAGAAAAAAAGATTTGCAAGATCAAACTCTACGAATAAATGCTGCTAATTACAATTTCTTCTTCGAAGCCTGCTCTGAAAATAAGTCGTGGTACAAAGGCATTAACAATCATGTATAAAGGCAACTTTTTGCAAGATCTTAGTACAATAACTGTTGCAAAAACAATCGATCGATGGGTCAAAGGATGCTTTTCTTAAGAAATTTTAGTTTATTTTTATCACACATTTTCCTCTGTATTTTACGTTTACACACACATGGCTATGGGCAAGCTCCATCAAACCTAATTCAAGCTCTTTATAAAAGGTCTATGCATACATTCCTCAGAAATGGTATAATTCTATCGGATATTCAGCATAATTGGTGCTCGTTTCATTCATTTTCAAAATAACTTTTTTTTTCAAATGCATATAGCATAATGTCCAAATCAATTTCTAAAGAGTCCTTTCACGGTAACTAAGGTAGTACTCTACTGCACGGTAAATTAATAACGTTAAGCGAAGTTTTGTTGATAGATAATTTAATGACGTTTTTTAAACAATTGCTTTAACGTCATATTTCACCAAAATATATCATTTTGTAAATGAGTTGTACAAGTACAGTAGTTATGGTGAAAGGGTCTATTAATACTTAATTTGAATTACTCTGTCTCTTTGCATCCCTCCTGCACTTGCCACATTGATCACAAATATGAAAGAAACAGCATTTGGCAAGTATTCCATTAACTTTTGACTGACTTTTCCAGAGCCTCCGATTCCTGGTGTATCAACCATTATTGTGTTACCCTGGGAGATGATATTGAATTGAATATTATTTGCGTTTAAATTGTATTAAATATAAAATAATAAAAACAAGGTCTTGTCATTTCCAAACGTAAAAATATCTTTTGATACATTATTATAAATACCTTTAAAAAGGGTACTGGTAATCCAATATCAACACTTTTATACTTTCTACTGTCTTTTTCAATGGTCATATCTGTAAGATTCTTCAGTGTATCTCGAAGAGTTTTTTCCCCTTTCCTTGTTAGTACATCAATGTCACTCATATCTCTGCGCTCAACCTCACCATTTTCTAACTCAGTTTTTATCATAACTTTGTCAGAGTTTCGTATTTTGCAGACTGTTGATGTAGATTCCATGTTTCTTCCTTTAAAAATTCTCATTTCTAGTATTTTATTAATAAGGGTGGATTTTCCCGCGCTTGTTTCTCCTGTTAAGAGAATTTCAAACCTCACTTAAAAGAACTTTAATTGTATTCTTTTAAGTGAGGTTCATGAAATGTTTGATGAGATCAATCTAAAGCCCTGCATGTATCATTTTCCTTCAAATTATACCAAAAACTTATTAGCATTAATTTTATTACATGACTTTCTTTAAGTTTCAGAATGCATTAACAAAAACATAAATAAAACAATTATATTTTAGCACTTCTAGTGATTTTCAAAATGATTTTTGCTAGAAGCACTGCAGTTAGGAATCCAACACTAATGTCACTTATTGTACTTTGATATTTGAAACAAAGCTAAAATGTACCTGCTACAACAATGCCATGATCTGATCTCAAAATATCCTTCTGTCGCTTAGCAATAGACGTCTTATAATCTGGGGATGCTTTTTCCAGGCATTGTCTTAGGTTTGTGTCGTATTCCTCACTTTCAATGATCTCCATTAAGTCATCAAACATTGTAATTATCTCTTTCTGAATATCGTTGTTACTCCTGGTAAGTCTTTTTTTAATTAATTGACTACATTTTGAAGAAAAAAGATAAACCAATTAAGTTATACACTTCCGTTGCAAGATATTACGAAGGGAAAAAACCTTAGCATGCTTTGTATGGAAAGGTGGCGATATTATTTTTTTCCGCCTGCTGTGAAAATGAAATCTTTGTGCTAATATCCTTGAATCATTATAAGATGTCGATATAGGTGATATTGTGCAGCATAACTTTCACTCTTACTGCATATAACTTAATTTAAGTGCAACTGAGTCGTTAAAAAGATATGTCACACAGCAGGAGTAAGTAACTTTGAAAATTATAATTTAGAAAATGCACTCAGTTCTTCAAATGAAACCGTTCTGAATGGGCCACAACGCTCACATTATTTACATGCATGTTCTCTGCAAAAGAGGGGTTAAGCATGTGACCGTATGGGTGTACGTGTATCTAAGGAAATCCCCTAATTTACTACGTTATCACTTTTTCTGACAATGATATTCTACAGGTTGTATACAACGCGTAGATTCAAAAGTACACGGAGGTGAGAACTTGTACTTCTCAAAATCAAAGTATATATTATATTATTTTCAGGTGGTATTTGGTACGAAGTTAAGAGTTTATTCAATAAATCTTACAAGTCTTTTTAAATGAAAGTCATAGAACTATTTGATACAAATGGATTGTAAAGTGACTTGCTGAAATGTTGTTTTACACGTACCGTACACGTGAGGTTTTGTAGAACAGAAAACGATATTGGGTACCCATACTTGTAAAACACGTCTAGGTTTACACGTTCAAGTAGACGTAAACATTCAAATGCTTAAATTATCTAATATTTAAAAAAATAACGTACACTACAATTCAAACATAATGTATGTTGAATTGATGTCAAAGCTTCGAATCACATAATTATACATTTTCCCGAGTGCCAATAGTAATATTACCTAGCCGGCGACACAAAATTCTCGAATGCATATAATTGTAAATATACTTTTGATTTATAGAATTAGAGATGGGATCCATTTTTGCAGGAAAACAAAATAAAAATATTTTGTTTCAAAAGACCTATTCGTTAACGAGAAACATATTTGAAGGAACAAAAACTCTATTTCTTATTTCAGGAAAAGAATGATTGTACAGCTTCAAACCCCCTTACACATTAAAGCATTATTGGTTTTGTGAAATCCAAATAAATATTAAATTAATAAAACTTCAACATGTTCAATGCGTGGATACAAAATCCTTTTTCTGATACTTGCCAATGAAATCCTTGATATGTTTTTGGTGGTAACTTTGGTGCAAGTTGGTTTACAGGAGATTTAGTAAAAATGGGTTGTGTAGATAATGTCGGTGGCTCTATTGAATGTGTCAGTCTTTTTTCCTGTATTTCCCCCGATGTATGTTGTTGAAAGTCAGACCTAGTAGAAAGTTGGAAGCTGAATTTGATAAACATGGTTTAATTGGTAAAATGGTAGCTTAGTTGAACTGATTATGAAATGATTGGATAGAGTATTGGAAATGTTGATCCTATGAAATTCGTTCAATATAACAGAGCGGAGATGATTAGTCTATCATCAATACATTTCAGATCTACATGTAAGAAGAAATACATAAGTCAGTTAACATGACCTTAAGTACAAAGCGATAAATGACTGGAAGGGGCTGACATTCCATGTTACAGTCCCTGAAACGTTCTACTTTCCCATTTTTCCGTTCGCTCACCGTTCGTTCAGCGTGCATTCACCGTTCGCTCTCCGTTCACAGTATTACGTTCACCATTCACCGTGCGCACGCGTTCACCGTTCACAAAACGTTCACCGTTCGCTCTTCGTTCCGTTTACTTTGCGTTCACCTTGCGTTCACCTTGCGTTCACCGTTCATTTAACGTTCAGTCTTTCTTGTCATTCGGAACTCCGAAGTGAAAGGACTTATCTTTTTGATGGTAAGGATTTACACGTTTTTTAATTCAATAACTTAGATATCGTGTTTAAAAAAATAATTATTTCATTGCAAAAATTATCTATGGTATTTATATTTTTATTGTCATGACTCAGCTGTTACTTTCTTCATGAAATTTCCCTGGAAAATAATACATTAAGTACCTATTGTACATGTATGTCGAACGATGCTAAAATATTAAATTTAAAAAAAGACAATGTACAAATGCTTTACGCACGGCATCAATTTGTTGTAATGTTAAACACGACAAATCACCAATGGATGTATAATAATTAATGCAAGTCTTTTAAAGGACATGAATACACAAAAAAATTATTCCTACAGTAACACGTGTTTCAAACTACACGTAGGTCTTAGAATTATGAACAGTACTGCAAATATTCAGTTAATTAAATATTTTTAGGGCTAATTAAATTGGTAGAGTGGTTTTAAATTTTGGAAAAAAAAACACCAACTTTTTAAAATAATATTTTATTAGAGATGGAAAATTACTTACTTCACCGTACCAAAATATATTTTTTCCATTCAGTATAATTAAGCTCTTCCCCCCAATCCGGTGCCTTTTCTCCCGAAATAAAATTCTTAGTATTTTCAGTACATTTTACTTAATATCAAATGTGTATTGTAACTCAAGAAAATCAGTCTTAAAACTAACATCAAACAGTCATTAAATAATATTATTTTAGAATAAATTTGTGCCAACAGTAGTATTTACAAAACGAAATACGGCTTACACATGTTACATGTAATACTGATTTAAGATGTCAAAGAATTATCAATATTATTCATTGACTTTTTCTGGAACTAAATACATGTAAGACTTATTTTAATATTTTAGATTATAAATAATTATTTAGGTAATTCTCAGACTTAAGAAAACGGATTTGTTTGTTCTATCAGAAGGTGTACATGTAGGTGGACCGTAAAATTTGATTGAATTGGATTTCGAATTCATAATATTCAGAAAGTGGAAAACGATTGGAAAAAAAAACGCAGCATGAAATGACTTAAATTACAAGTTATATCCATGTTTCCATTGATTCAATGCTTGCTAATCTCTTAAAATGATTTTACCAATTATTTATCATTTTTTCATTTGCAGAAATTTTAAAAATTAAGCTCCAGAGCTAAATACTGATAAACAAATTCCTGGAAATTATGTCGTGTGCATGTACATTCGCCGACAAAATATTTATGTAAGCTTTAAGGAATGTTTATTTGTAAAAAAAAAATATATATATATATGTATATTTATTTTTGGTGTATTTAAAAATCTTCAAAGTATCTTGACCACAATAACCAGTAAACAAGAATGAACATCAGAGGGAAAAAAACGTTAAACATCTAAACTGTACGGTTTATCACAATAGGGCACACTATTTGACGAGAATATAATACTGTACGACTTACTATATTGTTTGTATACAAGCGATAATTAGTTCGTTAATGTATGTACCGCGTACAATGTAACTAATTCATTCTATAAGCAATAGTTTTATCTTCTGAAGTCCACATTATTTTATTAGTTAAAAGAAAAAGCATATTTACTATATAAATAGATTAATTTTATATTCAAACTACACGCGTTCGGTAACAAATACACATTTTTTACGGCAATTAAAAGCGTGCTATAAAATAAAACATAGGTACATATATGTAGAGAAAAAATGTTTTTATTATTTATTTTTTTTTTTTTTTATTTATCTATTGTTAATTTTTATATTAAAGCACCTGAAATTAGAATTATAGAATAATAGAATAATTTCAATGCAAGGAAAAGATCGGAGGCATTCCGAATAAATCGTTCATCTTGCCTTCACCGTTCGTTCACCGTTCACTTTTCGCCCGCGTTTGCGCTCCGTTTGCGTTCTGCGTTCACTCACCGTTCACCGTTCACATATCGTTCACCAAGTTGCGTTCAGCGTTCGCACATCGTTCACTCACCGTTCGCTCTGCGTTCGTTCAGCGTTCGTTCAGCGTTCGTTCACCGTTCAGGTGGGAAAGTAGAACGTTTCAGGGACTGTATTGAGATAACAATATTTGTTTACCATAAGCAAGTAAAGAAGAAATCTTAGTACTCAAGTGTAAGGTTAGTTAATGATGCGCTTAAAACAATACCTTGTTTGTATTTTGCCACCATCAGGCGATTTCTGATCTTTGCTCGACTTTTCTAAGGTCTGAAGATAGAAAAACAAAAAAAAATTAATTCAATCTACAAATTCATAGTGCAGTTTTTTTTATAATGTGACAGTTGTCTGACAGATGTTGGGTCATTTTGCTTGCAAGAGCGTAATAGATGTTTGTTTTTCTTGATAATTAAAATTAAAAGAACCCTTTACATTTAATATTATATTAATGTTAAGGTTCGATGCAACAGTTGTCTGCGACAATTTTCAATCAAATGTGAATTATAATTCTAAGACTTACTTTAAAAAGGAATGATTTTAATAAGATAAATTTACAAGTATACATTGGCGAAAAAAAGAACATAAGAAATATTTGTAACACATGGTTACTGTCTTTCAGGTAACGTGAGATTGAGGTAGGATAGAGTACAAGACTTGCCGAGTCCTCCGTCACAGTTGTACCTGAGCCCACATAGTACAATCACATTTCAAGAAGATAAAATGTCCTTTGTTTATCCTGTATCATATACTACATTTTACATCAAAATCGAGCTATTATCAGCAGATTTATTCACATCTTTTAAGTTGAATCTATGAAGCGATACAATAACAAGAGGCCCAGGGGCCACAGCGCTCACCTGAGCACATCAGCTCGGAAAAAAAACACATATCAGATCAGAACTGAAAGTTTACTGGGGGGGGGGGGGGCTTGAATTTTAACCACCAAGGGGATCATAATTTGAACAAACTAGAATCTACATTACCTGAGGATGATTTCATATGACAGAATATTACTAATCCTGGCTTTGAAGTACTTGAAAAGAAGATTTAAAAAGGTTTCCCTATATATTTCTATGTAAAACTGTGGTCGGCCATTTTTGCCACACCCTTACCCCGGGGTCATGACTTGAACAAACTTGAATCTACACTACCTGAGGATAATTTCACATGAGTTTCATCTTTCCTGTTTCAATGGTTCTTGAGAAGAAGATTTTTTAAAGATTTTTCCTATATATTCCTATGTAAAACTTTGATCGGCCATTTTGGCCCCGCCCTACCCCCCGGGGTCATGACATGAACAAACTTAAATCTACACTACCTGAGGATGATTCCACATGAGTTTCATCTTTCCTGGCCCAGTGGTTCTTGAGAAGAAGATTTTTAAAGATTTTTCCTATATATTCCTATGTAAAACTTTGATCGGCCATTTTGGCCCCGCCCTACCTCCGGGGGTCATGACTTGAACAAACTTGAATCTACACTACCTGAGGATGATTCCACATGAGTTTCATCTTTCCTGGCCCAGTGGTTCTTGAGAAGAAGATTTTAAAAGATTTTTCCTATATATTCCTATGTAAAACTTTGATCGGCCATTTTGGCCCCGCCTTACCCCCGGGGGTCATGACTTGAACAAACTTAAATCTACACTACCTGAGGATGATTCCACATGAGTTTCATCTTTTCTGGCCCAGTGGTTCTTGAGAAGAAGATTTTTAAAGATTTTTCCTATATATTCCTATGTAAAACTTTGATCGGCCATTTTGGCCCCGCCCTACCTCCGGGGGTCATGACTTGAACAAACTTAAATCTACACTACCTGAGGATGATTCCACATGAGTTTCATCTTTCCTGGCCCAGTGGTTCTTGAGAAGAAGATTTTTTAAAAATGCCAATAATTTTTCTCTAATTCATGATTATCTCCCCTTGGAAAAGGGCGTGGCCCTTCATTTGAACAAAGTTGAATCCCCTTCACCCAAGGATACTTTGTGCCAAGTTTGGTTGAAATTGGTTCAGTGGTTCTTGTGGAGAAGATGAAAATGTGAAAAGTTAACGACGACGACAACGACAACGACAACAACAACAACAACGACAGACGACGGACAAATTTTGATCAGAAAAGCTCACTTGAGCCTTCGGCTCAGGTGAGCTAAAAAGTGTAACAGCAGACAGGGTTGACGTAGTAAACCTTCCAGACCGTCGAAACACATGGGCGATTCTTTATAATGCCATTAACTGAATAAACCTTTGTTCATTAGGTGAGCTTTATCGAGTCAGTACAAGCGGTTGTTACAGGAAAAATAAGAATATTTAAAATCTGAACGAAAATATTCCTTAACCTTATAAGAATTGGAAATAAAATAGCAAAAATACGGAAATTTGACAAATATGTATAATGTCCCGATAGAGTCATTTGCAAATTTGTAACCACGAGTTAGGAACAAAGCGCTAGTGGGGTGTAACAAAACGCTAGCGCAAAGTGACAATCTGAGAGTGCGTTTTTCAGAAGGGACCTGTGCGTTGTTTTTTTGTAAGTGACAACGCTAGCACAAAGAGAAAACACGCAGGCGCGATGTTAGCTTCATTCGTCGCCTGAACACACAACACACGGTCACGATAACACAACTTTAAACAACGAGCAAAAATAATATACCGTTACGTTTACATACAAAGGCAATCACGCTCGGTCGCTTACACAGCTTTTCACAACACATCGTCACGTTTAACGCCAGCACATTGTCACTTCGTATTGTTTCAAACGTGCTGGTAAATTTTTACAAATACGTATAGTCTTATAAGTACATAGTATTTTATATGATTTGTCTACGCCTTAAGTATCCTGTCATTTCAAATCAAACAGTTACTTAAACAGGATAAGAAAACGTCACATCTGAATACAAAACGTTAAAATCATTTAAAAGCTAAATTTACAATACTTAACTCCATATACCATGAAATGTACACCATTTGAAAAATTCAAACTGTATCATTTTTCAATTCTTTTTATTAAAATACTCGTCAGATGTTTGTTGTTTTCTAAAGAAAAATAAAATACAACAGATTTGCCTTATAAATTATCAGCTTTTTTTTCAATGACCTTATTCAATAAATGTGCATTTAGGCTTTTGCTTAATAGGGCACCTGTTCATATATAATGTATTTCTCACCTTTTCTAATTTCTCTGTGAAAGGGGATGCCTCACAGAATGGTTTCAATGCTATGTGAGGTTTTTTCTTTCTCAACTCATTTATATCAATAGGTTCACTAGAAACATTCTGATATAGGGAAGGTTCCGCAATCTTTGCCACCTGTGCCTGAGTCCTAAAATGGAAGATTCTATCTTATGATATCAAGAACTTTCTATCTTGTGATATCAAACACAAATATTGATTTATTGTACAGTCACTGTGTATATTCATTTGCATCACATCCTGAATATTTAAACTTATAAAAAGACTTAACTTTAGACCATTATTAATCATTAAAAGCCTATATAGCACTTAGGGTTCTTTATCATGCCAAAACCTACAGTAACAAGGGATTTTGACTTTCAGTTTTAATACTGTTGGAGAAGGATGGCCTGTCTCCTTGTTCACGTCGTATGTTTGATAAAATGCAACAGATTAGAAATACTTCCAGACCCCTGATCACATAGTGAGTACCTTATTGCGAGGCTACCGTGGCTGGTTCAAGATTAAACAAAGCAAAGAACATACATACACTTGAGACGTCTGTGCAGGAGATTCATGAGCCGATGGATTTTTCCTGTTAAAGGAGAAAAGAAAATAGAATAACAAAATGTCTTTTCAATAAATAATCTTAAAATTACATTTTTTTAAAAATTATACGTCGGTCATATTGTGACTTTTGACAGACTGTAAAATCACCAATTTTCGTTGGAATTAATTATGATTGTTTATAAGGTATGAAGAGACACAATAATGGATGTCAACCATGAAAGGTAAAATGTTGCACGCGTAACTACTCAACAATTCTTCATTAATGAAATCAAATCCCCTCAAACCAAGAGTTTTTCTTCAAACAACGAAAATTTGACCCCACAAAAATATGTGATTTAACAGTAAATATTTACATTCCGTATATTTTTACTTATGAAATTCATTAGAAATCCACGGCATTCAAATTTCTATAACACACGCGAAAACTTGTCACCACGCCTTAGAGTACACAGAAGGAACTATATGCAAATTTCTATAATCTAGGAACAACAAAATGTACAATGTTTTGACTCAATTTAATTGAAAACTATAAACCTGTTAGATTAACGTAAAATACTACAAATTTGCGTTTAAAATTAATGTGTCATTTTTTCCTCGCAATGTTTGTTTGCGTTATTTAACTTTGCAACGTCATCTGACGTCACAAGCGGCTCTTACGTCTATTAAACACGTCAGTTTAGAAGGGCGCTAAATTCACATTAAAGATTAATGAAATAAGCAATTATGAAGAAGGAAAATTAGAGAATGTAAATATAAGCATTGAATTCATATTTTTGGCTAAAATTTGAAATTGAACATATACATGTAAATGCTATTTTTTTTAATTTGTTCTATGTTGCTCAATTGCACGAAGGATATATGGAGATACATTTGTAACGAACAGTATTCAATCTCAAAGTCCATAAAACAGTACAAACAAGAGCAGATCAAACACAGACCCCCGAAACATCAGAGATGGGATCAGGTGCCATGGAGGAGTGAGCGTCCCCTGCTGACCGGTCACACCCGCCGTGTGCTCATTGTCATGATCGTGTAATAACGGAAAAATCCGTCTTTAATTCAGTGAATAAATAATGGACTAACAATTAGTATGATAAACGTCAGTTAGCATTTGACTCAATGATTAATTGTATTTGCTGAAAAGGTCATTGTATCGACCATAGAACTTACGAAATGATGACTTTAAACAAGACTGCTGATATTCTTGTTTCATCAACTTGTTTGTCAATAATTTACCTCCTTTTAGAAATTGATCATACGTAGAGCATGTTCTTCCGTATCGAATCAACTGAGATATATACAATCCGTATGCAGGTGATGAAGGTATATTGCTGCATAAGTAAGGGAAGTTGACGATAGAAAAGTTAAAGTCATCACGATTGTCATATAGCATTTTAATGTTGCAGTTGTGCGAAGTAATCCGTTCGAAAATGCATGTTTCATTGATTTTTTTTACACAGAATCTTGGGCCTTGTACGTTGGCAGTCTGCCACAAACAATTACATGGATTGATCGTAAGTTTAATAAATCAATAGATACGGCTCGTTTTTAATCAATACAATGAATAAATAGAAAAAATTCAAGCTTACAAACCTGTACTGTGTAGTTTGAGGTTTGCTGTCCGTGGTCAAATCCGACTGACTGCTCCATTTAAAATATTAAGAAGAAAAGACAGAACAGAAAATTAATGCATGTTCTTCGTTCATAATCCATGATCAGCAATATTAAGAGATTGATAAATGTTGTTTCGTTTATTCATCGAAATTAAGATAATTCTAAGATAATTTTATATTGTTTTTTAGTTTATAGATATTTTGATAATTGGTATATTACACGAAACATCCTGGTTTTCAAGTTCATCTTCACTATTACCAATAATATTACTATCAACTTATAAATTTTGTTGTTGTGCAAGTTCATTTGTTCCCATGTTACACAAGTATGTTTTTCCATGGGTAGATACATGTATTAAATTCATCCCTTAAATAATTATGTTGCATCGAAAAAATACGTATATAAAAAAGTAAAACTCACCTCGAAAACTTTCGAATGATGTCTCCCACTTTTAATGGTTTTTCCTCCCCCATTTAAGGCTGTATAATTTTGAAAAAAAATTAAAACATATCAAAAGTGTTCACGTTCTTAAAATATTTTCTACAATAAATGTAACACCAGAATCGAATAGCCAGTATTCTTAGCAACATTCAGCCATCATTATAGAGGGTTGTTTCTTTCTTCTCTCCAACGACTGGATAAATTGGCACGACTCAACATTTCTTTTATTATTCAGAAGACAATATTTTCTTTATTCCTGTTTTTTTTCACCCCATGAACAGAGACGAAGTCTTCCTTATAAAGAATTTTCGACCAAACTACCGGCCCATTCCTTTCTCCCTGTGTCAGAACATTGTAAACAAACATCATTTTAAAGATGATCTTACTCCACAACTTTAACAAAATTAAAACGTCATTGACCTACACGTATTAAGCAAATGACACCTTGAATTCATAAGTGCAAAATGCAACTTCCTTCATTTAAAGAGTTTTATGAAAATAAAATCTTGCCGCATAACACGAATCAAGTTGCATTTACTTTAATTATGCATGAAAGTTACTTACTGCATAAAAAGTTAAACCTGTACAATCTTAGTCGTCCTGGTGCTGTTAAACAACGATTCCCATAGCTGCACACATGTTCCTTTATTGTGCAACTCAGCTTGTCGTGCTGATCAATAGACGTTAAACTCAAAGTCGACTGAAGCATTATCTATGAAAGATCATGCTACAGGTATGACTAAGGGCCTCGACTCTTTTGATTTCCATTTAATTTCAAATTAAAACAATTCGCTTAACTAGTGAAGGTTTTTAATTGCAGAAGATTTTCAAATCAAAATTACTTTCTCTGGAAAAAATGTGTCTCTTATAATAATTGAAAGTTATATGACAACAATTCCTTATTGTTGCAATCTGTATTAAGGATGAAGACACAGGTAACATGGAGTTTAATAATTATCACATCTTTTTACAATTGAAATGATTGTCTTTCATAAAATCTATAGGAATCACATTCCTTATATAATAAACTGAATCATATTTTGTTTAGTTATTGCACGCCTTTGGGTGCATTCCTGAGCAAGACAAAAGAATTTTAAAAACATACGAAAGAAGCTTGATTTGATTATCTTTCTTACATTTTGTGTTGATTTAAAAAAAATCAAGCCAGGTTGATAATTTGTGGAATTCTGTGTCCTTTCTTAAGAACTAACTTTAAAAGTCTAAATATTTACAATATTATCATATCCCTACTGGTTTTTCAAAATATAAATGTAAATCGATTGACAAATAAAAAATGGCAATGCCCCCTGGTTTCATTCATTCCCTTTCTATTTTTTATCTTTGTTCGATTAAAAAAATATCCTCGTGATGAGTAGTTTTTTTTTAAAATTAGCTTTGTGTGTTTAAATTACATGACATAAGCTATCAGCACTACGCAGAATGAAAGACGAAAAAAATCAGGTATGTGTCCGCCTCCTCAATATGACATTCTTATTATACAGAATGCATGCTTTACAGTTGCTTTTGTCATTAATAGCGTCTCCTTCAAATGGGTAAGAAATATATAGCAATGCATAATCCCTGAAATAAGATTCAGCAGAACGATACTGATATGTGTCAAATAAAATCGATAAGTAAGTAAGTAAGTAAATTTTATTTATAGTCGGACTACATACACATAACAAAGAACATGAGCTATAAAGCTCTTTTACCGACTAGAAACATAAAAAACATATATATAATAAAATGTACATATATACACATAAGAGCACAAATATCACATTAAAGTTTCACAAAGACAGAAGTTCATTTAAATACACAAGTGTAACCAAAGACATTGATAAACAGACATAAAAAGAAAAGAAAGAAATAAAAGACAAAACATTTGAGCAACACACAAAAAAAATAAAAGAGTCAACATAAGAGAACAACAAGTACTTAAAACAAAAGTCATGCACACAAACAAGGAGGAATGGTTAAGAAAGCACAATACTGTAAAAATAAATAAATAAATAAATAATAACTTAAGACGGTCATCTATAAAACTGAAAAATTAGGTATGAGGCATAGAAGTCTGAAGTCTGCAGGAGCTGCATTTACAATTTAGTTCTCCGCACCAAGTTGAAATGTAATTTGAAAATTGATTATATGAGGAGAATTGCCTGGCTTCATTGGGTAGAGAGTTCCAGAGCTTTGCTGCCTCATACCTAAATGATTTCATCCCATACCTTGTTGTTCTTGGTCTTGGGACCTCTGCAGTATTTGTATATCTAAAATTGTATGAATTATTTTTAAAAACAACCAGATCTTGCAAAAAGACAGGACTTAAACCTTGTAAAATTTTAAAGGTTTCTATAGCAATGGCACGCATTCTTCTGGTTTTCAAAGATGGTAGTTTAGATTTATGTAAAAGACTCTCATAAGAACTTTTATAATCTTCGTAAATAAATCTTAATGCTCTTTCCTGAATTTTCTCTATTTTGCGAGTATTTTGCTCAGTACAAAAATGCCATGTTAAGGGGCAATAACTAAAATTTGACATGATAAAAGAGTGATATATTGTAAGTTTTCCTAACTTAGTTAAGTGCTTTCCTAACCGTTTAAGAACATTTAATTGCCTTGCAGCCTTTTTGCACATATTTGTAATATGTGTATCAAAAGACAACTTAAAGTCTATGGTTATACCTAGCAACTTAACTTCATCCTCACAAGGAATTTTGATTCCATCTAAATCAAATACAATGTTTTTACTTTGTGTTTTATTTCCAATAGAAATTGCCTGAAATTTTTCAGGGTTGGCCTGCATTTTATTTGAAGAGAACCATGTAATGAGAGATCTACTATCATGTTCTAAAGCTGCTACCACCTGTTCTAGAGATTTATCAGACTTTGATAGGGTGTTATCATCTGCATAATTGTAGAGGTTACATTTATCTACAAAGAAAAACAGGTCATTTATGAATATGTTAAATAACAGGGGACCAAGAATAGATCCTTGTGGGACACCTTTAATAATGTTTAACATGTCACTAACATGATGCCCTAATTTAACACATTGTTTTCTATGTGAGAGGTAGCTATAAAGCATTTCTTGTGCTGATTCAGATAGTCCATAGGCTTTTAGCTTCAAAAGAAGTAGTTCATGGGGAAGGCAATCAAAGGCCTTGGAAAGATCCATTAAAATAGCTGCAGTGTATTCATTTTTATCCAGGGCATATTTCCAGTCTTCAATAACTCTCAACAGAGTAGACTGATATATTCAATCGTCTCAGATATTTGAAATGACATGAGATTGGTTTCATTTGTATTTTTCATGAAAAAAAAATCATACCGCTTCGCGGTTTATAAAGCGTAAACTGCCCAAAGTTATATTATATCGTATAACAAAAGTTGAAATAAGCTTCCTTCCTTAAATATTTTTACAACATGCCATTCAATATGACCTTCTATATACATTTTATCGATCTACTTAAACAACCTTACGCATTGCACAATATATTCACGTTTATACAAAGATTTTTGAGTACTCAATTCAATGATAATGCATACAATTAGTTTATTTTCCATTGATTGTCCCCGCTTGGAAAGAGGGGGATATTTATTTGGGTCTGTTCGTCCGTCCGCCATTCTGTCGGTCTGTAACACTTTCGTTTCCACATGATATCTCGAGAACCCTTTGAACTTTCGAAATGGAATTTTGCATATCAATGTCCTATGGACGAATAAAGAACTTTATTGATTTTGAGGTCAAAAAGTCAAAGATCAGGGTCATAAATTTGCAATTTCTCTCTGTTGAAACACTTTCGTTTCTGCGCAATATCTCAAGAACCCTTGGAGCTTTTGACATACATGTTACAACTCCCTGTGGCCTAAGGAAGACTCCTAATGATTTTTAGGTAAAAATGGCAAAGTTCAAGGTCGTAATTTTATACATTATATCTGTATGTTACACTTTTCTTTCCGGGCGATATTTCAAGAGTATTTTGAGCTTTTGCAATGTAAATTTATACCCAAACTCCATAGGACCTCTCTCATCTCTCTCAAACTGTCCCGCACCGTTTGTTTTATTAGTATTTATTGTATTACATGTCGCTATTAGCTTGATAGGTTAGATGAGACACCATGCATTGTGTAAAATTTTGACAATATCGAACGTGAATATATAAATACATGTACGTGTATGTGACTTCATCATTGCAATTAATTTTCGTTGAAGTAAAGCAGTTCCGTTGTCTAGCGGTATGTCTCTCGCTCCACATTTGAGAGGTCCCGGACGATCCATATTCTGTTTTTTCTCGAAATACTTTTTTTCACAAAATTATAGTATTAAGCATGTGAAATAAAAAAAAAAATTATGAGGTCTGACTTATACAAACTCATCAAATCATCATTAGAATGTGATAAGTATTCCATATAAAAAGATTTAATAATTCTACAAATTCAGTCAGGGGAATCCGACTTTTTCACTAAGCGGGGGACATGAATTCTTTGAATTAGCTTGTTGATTCCTTGATCGATTGAACTTGTACCATCTTAGGTATTAAACGTGTATTTAGCCATGTGCATCGTACAAAAAATCTTCAGAAACCTTCTTTGAAATGATACAATCTAAAAAATCTGACTTTATAAAAGCATTAGAATTTCTCACAAATAAACTTATGCAATCTCGCACATGCAATCTAAATCATCCCAGAATCCATCTCGACACATAACGACACAATGCCCCATCAGTATCGATGCCTGTACCTCCTATCCAACAATCGCAGCAGTCACACCATTTAGCACACTCAGCTATGAAAATTTAAACATATTTTAGAGAATCCCAAGCTCTCGTAAAAAAATGCATCACTTTAGTTTTGACATCAGAAGAAATATACACGCTTAAAACGAAAAAGCTAACAAGATGTGTTTGTGAAACACTATGCGCCCGGCGGCAACAAATTTTTAAAACAACATATCTTTAGCATAAAGGTCACAGTGAAGGTCACAAGGTCATTGATCTTGATGTGATTTGAAAGATCTTGATTAGTGAAGTATG